AGCAGCCGCTCTTCTTCCCGATTCGAACGAAACCGGTCGGCAACCAGAGTTTGGAGGGCTACGGGTCGGAAGCCACTGCCAACGGCACCGAAACAATCCCCGTCACCTTTCTGGTCTTGCTCAGCGGCGAGTTTGCGAACAACCTGTTCAAGATCGTCTACGGCTKGGGGGTCGCCAAGATGGCCGCGGAGGAGTTCGGGATCGCTTCCCGGCTGGTCTTYGCCATGCAGGTCGATCGCCGSAACCGCGTCAGGGAAAAGGCCACCAGGACGGCCCGCCAGCTGCTCCGGTGCCTCCCATACTTTCGGGGGATCGACCTCGGTCTGGGCAACAAACTGCTGAACGAGGGATACTTCGACGAGATCGACGCCAAGGCGACGGGGGTCCCGGGCTTTGGCCTCGACAAATATCTAAGCCTGGAGACCAGCCAGAAGCACCTGCGCGTCCTGGCTGACTACCTAAGGGACCTCGGGAGGGACGCGGTTCGCAAAAGCACCGATTCCAACACCACATCCAGCCACAAAGACCACCACCGCGTCCCGGTCCCCATGGTCCGCCTCGACGACATGTTCAGTGGGTACCTGGACCTCTACTACGACGAGGTGGTCAAGACCCTCCTCGCCTTTGACGACGAAGCGTGCTGCGGGTCGACGCTGGAGGCCCCCCCGGGCCCCGACGAATCCGTCCTGCACTACCGGAACTTTGGCACCGAGTTTGCCAGGCCGGACCGCCGCCGGAAAATGGGCTTCGAGGAGCTCCCCGGGGACCGGATCGCGAACGAGCTCTTTGCCAACCTGGAGAGCGGGGGGAAGCTGGCCCTGGCCGGCCGGAACCTGGCGAAGGACTCGCTCAAAAACAACACCGGTGCCCACGGGCTGGTGGAAGCACTAAGGGCCCGGAACCTGACGGTCCGCTTCTCCCCGGGCACCGATCCCTCCCCGACCGCCYCCGGCGACCCTGCCATGGAAGACTTTTGCTTCCTCAAAAAGGCCCGCAAGGAGCTGGTCGGCTTTGCCAAGTCGACCTACGTGGCCATGGCGTCCGCCCTCGGGGGGCCCTCGATCGCCACAACCCGGCTCTACACCTACACGGCCTCGGACGGGTCCTCAAGAGCCCAGCCGCGCCATGCCTATCAACACCCCGAGCTGGCGGCGAGGATCCAATACGAGGACTACTACTTTGATCCGAAGGATCGTCCGGCGTAGCACCCAAAAACACCGAACCGAACGGAACGAGCAAGAAAGCAAGCAGGCAAGCCCGCAAACCAACCGACCAACCAACCGAAACGCACGCTGAACCAAGGCCACGGCCGGGACACGGAGAGGTCCATCCCCCAGCGACGTCCATCGTCGAGGACCGGGAGGTGGGGCACACACGGGACTCCTCGGCATGGTTCGGAGCCGGTGTCCTGCGTTGGAGTGCAAAGCAAACCGTGTTGCTAGAAACGATACACGGTAGATAGGATAGGAACGAGAAGCTCGGTTGCGTCGAGCACTCGCTGCACTTTGGTACTACATACCGCAACGCACTCTCGTCGGCATATATGATGATGATGATTGCAAACATCAACAGTCACCACCAACCTGAACAATGGCAAGAATGAATTCACAATGATCGCCCCTAGTAACAGTAACTTCTATTGTAACTATTTTTCATCTATTCGCAGAGGGTATTTACTGACAGAAAGTAAGCTTCCTGATTTCCTCTTTTTTTTATCAAGGCCCTCTCCAAATGGTGCGTTCCCAACACTCACGCGCCTCCAACAGGACACCGAACATACCGCATCGACCTCCTCCATCGGCACCGCAATGCGTGCATCCGGACCGAACGGATGTCG